GTTTGATTTCTCAGATTTTCCTTTTCAGCTGTAGTTCATCGTGAGAGGGCAAAATAATGAGCGCATTTCAACAAAAATTATATTTTCTTCAGTTGTAGATACATAATTTAACCTGTCCAAGCGACTGCATGTCCTAGACAGACACTTGTACAAACTACTTCGAAAACTCCTCTTTTCAGTATTTTTTCTTCTATATATTATTATTATAATAATGAAGACTACCAAGAAGACTACTTGTCTTTTTTTTTTGACTATGACTGATCATCTTTGACAGGTTCGACTGCATGTACATCATTGTCAGTGGAAGTTCTATGCTTACTGGCCGCCAGATTAAAACAATATCAAATTAAACATGATTAGAAGAACACACAGGAAGGCTCACCTGTTCCAAAAGGACGGAAGAAATATGAGTCATATCGTTACTTACATATTTGCATTTTCATCTTAAGCTCAAAAACAAACAAAACCAACAACATGAAACAAAGCAAAACAAAAAACATAAAAAACAACACAAAAAACAAAACAAAAGAAAACCTCTCTTTACGGAATATTCTCGACTCTTGAAGCATTCACAGCTGAGCAGTGTACCCCAGTTGACATTCTTTTAGAAATTGCCATTTAAAAGAAGAAACTTGTGTTTTAGAATGACTAGTAGGAAAAATTATATAGGTACCTCCCCTCTCCCCCCCAAGGAATAATAATACAAGCCCCCTAAGAAATGAAAAGATCTACTTATTCATCTACAAGTGGACATTAGTTTCACAAACCGAACTTGGGGTTGACAAATGCCATTGGCAGGTTTTACTTCTTAATAACTAGGCCTCAGCTGCTGATATCTTTCTGCATTACTCTTCCGTTCCGAACATCGTAACTAAATGTGTCAAAGTACCTATTAATAATTCAACGTGAACACAATATCAGAAACTACTGAATTCACATTTATGGCGAAGAAGCAAATATCAGACTCATTCATCGTTGTGAAACAACCCTGAAGTAGCCGAGGGTCCCCCACAGTGCAAAGCTTTATATGTGCTAATACACGTATACACTTGCCTTACTCAAGCACACACTAAACACGTCACCTATATAAACACTGCCAATCTGAGTATTGCCAAGCTTTCTCTTAGAGCGATGTTTGCAGATCTCTTGATCTGTGAGCCCCGGGAGTTAGGTTGAGTGTTCGGTTGGTTGAGTGGAAGAGAAGTACATGTACTATGACAGAATGGGAGTCGAGATTTGCTGAGATAAGAACAGAATTTAATGATTACGCACTTGTCTCCTTATACTTATAGTATGATGAGGTACGAGAAGTGTGTCGTACTGAGGGGATTCTTTTCCCTTTTTTGAGGAGAGTGAAAAAAAAAAGAGGGAGAAAGGAAAGTATTTTTTAAATTAAAGTTTAATACCCTAGAAGACAAACTGGAAAATAAATTTTTCTAGGCACTTACATAGACACAATTTAAATAATTATTATTCAAGAGTGTGACACAGTATGGTACCCGAAAGACAGTGCACCCGAGAGACACCGATTTTTGATGACATAGACTTTTAAAAAATTATTAAGCTTATGTAATGAGGAATATGTAATAATCTTTACGGTCCACATACTGGCCCATTGATTTGGTGCCCTCCTCCCCCATGAAACTCACAAACGCATACAAACACAAACACACACACACACACACACACACACACACACACACACACACATATATACACATACGCACCCGCATAGACTCATAATACTCTCTCACACATCCTCTCCTCCACATACATAATATAAACATGAACACATAATCTATACTTAAATCCACAAACAGACCCACGGCCACACACGTATGATATGAATGAATAACTGAAAAAGTATTCTCTTGGTATTCCGACGGTATTCTGACAGTACAGGCTTTAAAGGCCATAAGGAAATATACCAGTATGTACATATTCTTTCACAAGATAGTGGGCGGAGTTTAACTTCTTCACTGCCAAGCCCGACACTGTCTTGGATTCTTTGACAGGAATGTGAAGATGGCCTGGCAGTAAAAGGGTTAATGGATAATGGTTAAAATAACCTTGCGTGTCTTTCTTCGTACACAACAGAAGTACAGGTAACTGATCCCTGTTCTCTTGCGTACAATGCCGAAGACCGTAACCAAAACACCACAGACGGAAGGTCCCACCTTTTCAGGTGTCGAGAGTTTATTTATAAGTTGACAAACTTTTTTTTCTGTAAGCGTTTTGAGACTATCTCAACTGCATAAGGTCATATGAGCGCAGGGGGCACATTAAACCTTTTCAGTTTGGAAGGAAATCGACCAAGTAATTATTAGAAATGAATGTGGCCTACCGGTAGTTGATATTAACAAATTACAAAACTGTCCGACTTGGAAATTAGAATTAATCGTTCTGGTCCAGCTTTAAGCAACTTACATTCTAATATTATTTTTATTTCATAAAATGCCATTGTGTGAAATGATGATATTATGATTATGGCACCAGCTCTCTGTTTCACTTTTGAGAGCGTGGGTATTTCATTTGATATCACCCAAATTTTCTCCTGCTTTTCCTCGTGAGATATTCGGTATAGCTCAATCCATCACGTGACGTGGACGTGCATACCCAGGCCGTAGAGACCACCAGAACGTGTTACTCTTATTATGTAACATCTCTAACTTTCGGCACTTATATATGAGCTAATCGTGTTGCAAGTGCCGTGAAACACGTACCTAAATAAAACAGCGTGTTCTCAAACCTTGTCGAAGGGCCAGAAAGCTTGTCCTGAAAGAATCAGGACCGCGCCTACAATTATAACCTAGCACCGCTCTGAGCGGGAGAAGTCGCCTTTTTGGTCCAAACAAAATATTGTCATTTGCTCTGGAAAGTTCTAACACAATATAACACCGTTTGGTGTGCATCATGGGCACGCAAATGAAGGGCAAAATAGAAACCTCGGTGTAGTCGAATGCGTGTTTCTTTTCCCCCGTTGTTCTTCATTTTGATTTCAAATAGAGTCAAATTAAATGGTAGGTTCCACGATAAAGCGAAATTATGCCAGGGGTGCCCAGTCTAATATCATAATACAAGTCTGTATTGTATGTCAGGAGTCCTCGTCCTCTTCCTCTTCCTCTTCCTCTTCCTCTTCCTCTTCCTCTTCCTCTTCCTCTTCCTC